CTAGATGGAGAGTTCAGGGTGAGGCTTTCTCTACCACAAGGGCTACGCTTAGTCCGGGAGCATGGAGGCAGCAACACAACTGTCCCTGCAAGGTCAGAGCTTGGGTTATTTGGGGCTGGATGGCAACACTGCTGAGCAGCCTGGCTCCCAGACCCCTTGCTGGGTGTAAATTCCTGAGAATGCCAGGCAAAGGTTTGTTCCTTTGCAAAGATCTTTTCAGCCTGCTGGGGTGGTGCAGCCAGTGTTGTGTGATGCAGGCCAGGGTGTCCCCACCTTGGCTCAGGCCAGGCTGGAACTACTTTGGAGGAAGGGTTTGCTTTCCACCACCTCCTCTGGTACCTGGTGTACAGCACAGCCCTTCAATGGCTGCAGGCATCCCTCCTTCACCCCAGACTGCTGGCATCCCTGCGGTCCCGGCACTGCCTTGTGAATTTACCAGACGCTAATCAGGTGTAACCTCAGTCCCCTGGCTGGGAGAGGAGAAAAGGAATAGCAAAAAGAAAACAACTTCCATATTATGGAAGGGTTTGCCTTTCTGCTCTCTAAGGGCTCTGTTTGTTGTCAGAAACATGCTGCCTAACAGCTAAAAGAATAGCTTGCCTTATGTAAACCAAAATCCAGGCTAGAAACCAGAGAGCAACAGCAAGCCAATATGCAGGTCTGCTATAAGGTTTCCTGAACCTTCCCTGCACACGCTGTCCCAGCCCCTGCACAGTATTTCCCCACTTCTACCTTTCTGCAGATGCACGAGGACAAACAGCATCATTTGGAAGAACAAGTCTACCCCACCGAGCCTCGCTGAAAACCTGGCTCAAGCCTGTATTAATTTGTGACATCGTAAATGAGCTTCAGTGGAAGTAAAGGAGCTGGCAAGGAAAGTGTCTGCAGCGCGCAGTTATCTTCATCAAATCCAACGGCAATTAGATTCATACCCTGCAGGTATTTATATTGCACTGCTCAACTGAAAGCACAGTGGCATGTAATACATCTGTGCTGGTGTGGAATAAAGTGTCTGCAGCAGGTTAGGGGTGTTCTGTTCAAAAATAGATGCTGCATATTAACCACAGTTTCTTCTGCATGCTGAGGCACAGACCCACAATCCTATTCTCAACAGGCAACTATTGCGGCTGCATGGGATTAAAGGGAGAATGAGAGGGTGAACCTTGGAAATTCACTGCCAAAAAGAAAAGTAGCAGGGAGCTTCGGGGTGTTTCTACATGTGTGCATGCATGTGCATCGGCTTACGTGTAAAGGCAAGAGGGAAAGAAGCAGCAAGGTAGATGCATGGGCAGGACGTTATTTTGTATGCTATATCCCTTATAAATTACAGGTAGATCTAGCTACGAATTGTGGCTGTTCCAGTCGAACGGAAGGAAAACAAATGGGGGGGGAGGGGGAAGATGGCAGAATTTACCACAAAATGCTTAAAATTTTCAGAAGAAAAAAAATATAGAATAAAAACTGGCTTAAAAAGCAATATCTTTGATTTGGAAGTGCTATAGCATTACCTCGTGGGAGTTGGTGTATTGCCTCTCTGGGTCTCTTCTGCACGTTGGGATCCTCCCTGGACAATCCCTTTCCTTTGGAGATATGACAAAGCATCTCCCCAGGCAAGGATGGTTTGGCTTGGAAGCCTGGGCCAGAGGGAAGGGTAGGGAACGTGACACACCAACCCCCATAGAGGACTGAAACATGGCATTTTTGAATCCCAGTTCTGGAATTTTCCACAAAATCTTTTCTTTTCCAATAATTTATTTTTTATATGTGATCAACGTTTTCTGCAAGAGCACATTTTCATTTCATAACACATCCAGGCTGCTCTCAAAGTAGATTCTGACAGAACTAAACTTATTTATAGAGCAACCATTTAACTCACAAAAAGGAGAGGCATCAAAGAGTTGTGTATATTCATTAATAAATGAGACCTAAATTTCCCATTCCATTTTTCCATTGCCAGTTTTGAGTGCATGATATTTAGTGACCTTATTCAGAAAAAAATCAGGGGTAGCACTTAACCAGGGGCTTCAATTTAAACCAGTGCTTGAATGATGTCCCAAGAGAGCATATTTGTTTTTGGGAACAAAAAGACACTAGTGGGTTGCATAGTAAAGGTACTGATGCCTTTTAGCCATTGAAATATTTGCCTGTATTATTAACCCTTACTAGAAAGGGTGCAGCAGGGGCCTGATGACTTTTATTTTGCATCCATCCCCTGCATCTGTAACTATAAAGCTCTGATTTTCCCTGCCCTGCAGCTTGTGTGCTCATTTACCCCGAGTGAAGTAAGTGGAAAGGGGAGTGCAGCATGCTTGAATTTAGCTCATTTTAAAGCTTTTACAATTTTAAATTAGAGTTTACTCTTGCTCAGGGAACAGAACAGCTGGGAGTCAGCCCCACAGGACTCAGGGAGCCTGGCTTCACAGAGAGGAAACCTAGCAGCAATTAAAAACCAGGCTTAGACTTGAAAACATTTATGTAAAATATGCAGCTTGAACAAAAAAAAAAAACCAAAACCAAAACCAACCAAAACCCAACTCTGGTGACATGGTGCAGTCTTTGGCTGGTTATTTTTTGGGAGGAGCTGTTAACTCATTACTACTTTCCCAGGTTGACGGAGGGCAACACCCCAGGCTCCTGGCAATAAAAGCTTCTTCTCTTGTTATTCTTTCTTTGCACGTGCGTGCGCACACAGACATCCCAGTGTGGTGTGCGGGTTCTGCTATTCACTCTACCTTGTATGGTTTTATAAGCAATGACTCACATGTGCACTACACACTCAGTAGATGTATATAACAAGAGCAAATATGCATATCTATAATGTTGAGAGACAGCTTGTGCCTGTCTGTACCCACGTATAATCTCTGTGTATTTTGATCGGAATGCTGTCTGTGTGGGTGAGCGGATAAAGTCTCTCCTCTTGCTGGCACTATCTATCCCATATCTGATGTAGCTACTGCGTATGGCTGAGCTATTTCCAATTGATGACTGGGCCTAAAGCAGAAAATCAGTTCCCCATTATATACCACTCTGGGGCTTGGAGGACTCTCTACTCAAGACACCTCTAACGTTACACATCCACACGTGTTGAGTACCAGATTCTGCACTGCCTTGAGCCCTGTGTAGCAATTTCTCTCTCCAGAATGCCTATCAGATACGAACACCACAACCAAAGAGCATCACACCTCTGCTTTGCAGCTACCGGGAACAAAGAGGAAACGTGCCATGGAAAAGGAAGACTTCATATCAGTCTGTGTCTAATATTTCTCTCCATCTCTTGCTCCCTCAAATCTATGGCATGTATTATATCATCTCTTTCCATGTATATGGAAAAACATCCCAAGGCACTGAGCCTGATTTTACCCTCGGCTGCACACGCAGTTCCCATTAGCATCAATGAGAGCTGCTCATAAGTTCCGAATTTGGCCCCTGGGCTTGTCGGTCCAGAGCAACAGTGATCCTAGAAAGATCCTGATAGTCAGAAAACATCCCCTGTCAATAATCACCAACTCATTAAATGTAAATGTTTCTTTTATATATGTTTGATTCCCTTTCTTTTCCCTGAAGGACTAAACTTTTGGACATGAAGACCAGTGAATTATGTTCACATCCAGCTGAGCAAAGACTGCATAACAAACACTTCCCTGTAAAATATCATTGCTGGAGGCCACTTTTTTTTGTTAAATGTCCTCAATTCATTATTTATAGGCGAGAGCCTTTGCAAATTTTTCCCCTCTCCAGCCCCACCCTTGGTGTGAAAGTGCTGAAGGAAGGAATGACTTTAAATACATTGGAGAACAGCACCATTAATAAATAATACAGTTTTAACCAACTTTGTCTAACATCGCTATAATTGAGTTATAAAAATTTCATATCAGATTTCTTGCCCAGATTCCTGTGGCTAGTTCAAGCAAAGCAGCACAGTGTGTAATACTTACTACTTCCTTAGGAGACAGGAAGCTGTAGAGTGGGAGGGTTTGGCTGGCTTTTTGGCTGGCCTGAACCTCTGCAGAGGAGCTTCGCTTTGCGGTGATCTTTGAGTGGTGCCGGGAGTGTCTTCGCCGTGTTTTATGCCCTTCCTCCCGAGACCTGGCTCTGTGCCTCCAGAAGACATAAACAGCCAATCCGTTATTCCTCGGTATTGCAGTAGTGCCCACTACCAGCTCCGTGCAAACCCTTGGCAGCTCTGTGCGAGGCCATTGCGTGTGGGAGAAGGTCTTCCATATGACTGCTCTGTGGAGTCATGATGGAGAGAAAAGGGGTGTTTTCCTTTTCTACTTTTTTAAAAAATATTTTGCATCCAGGCTTTGGACCTTAACCTCAAATTTCAGCTCCAGTTCATGATTTTATGATGGCTCAAGGCAAACCATACTTTCACACAGCCTTGAATGTCCCCATGGCAATACACCTCCAAGAGAAGACATGCTCTGCTCTTGCGTGAACACCCCTCCAATTACTGATTGCATTCCTCCCCTCACTGATCATCAGCTTTTCGTAAGAAAATTCCCAGTAGTTAGGAGGAGTGAAGTGGGAGCGTAGGGGTGATTTGATCAAGTGCTTTCAGAAAACGTGAAACATGAACTCATGATGTGTATAAACTATGCGACTTGCTATTGCAGCGATGCCGGGTCTAGCACCAGCATCCACTTAGCTGGCCCCAGGATGTATCTGTCATCCACAGGACAGAGATTTTAATCAGGTCAAAGACAGTGGCTATAGATTGCCACGGGCAAATATATTTCCATTGCTAAGACCATGTTTAAGGGTTTCCTGGGACATCAGCAGTACAGAGCCCTTGGGTTAGGGAAGGGAGACTAGGCTGTAATCAGCTGTCATGGGCTGATCATCAGCCATGGGGATTAGAAGTGACTGCTGGACTGAAAAGCTGCAGCCACTGCTCCTCGAGGCAAAACCCTTCTGTGGCAGAGACCACAAGAAGCTCAACCTCCAGTGCGTGACATTGCTACCAGTACGGGATGCGGCTCTGCACAGAGAGTTTGGGGGTTGCACAGGCTATTGCAATCACGTCCTTGAGCCCACCGGGAAGTGTTGCAGGACGCTCAGCTCAGGGACCGGTGACGATACCTGCTTCGGCAGCCGGGGGAGCGGGAGTTGGAGCTCTCTGAGCGAGAGTGGCAGTGGCGGTGGCGATGGCGATGAGATTTCCGGGTGCGTCCGCGAGAGCTTTAAGAAGCAGAGAGGAAAACCACCGTTAGGCTGACAGACTGGGGGGATGCAAGAGCCAGCAGCTGGAGGCTGAAGTCGGTAACATTCAAATCAGAAAGGAGAAAATCCCAGAAATTCTCCATCCCTTCATAGCTACACCAACGTTAAGGCAAGCCATCTTACCAAGATCTATGCTAGCATTTTAACTACAAGCTATTAGGTTGGCTCTGTAGCCTGCTCGGGGAAGATCTATGGACTAGCATGCAGGAGTGCAGCAGACAGCACCAATTCTTTCTGCTTTCAATAATTTAAAGAGCTGTGTGCTTGCCCGTTCATCTGCTTGCCGTTCATCCTGCAGCCTACCCTAAGACAGCCAGGAAACAGGCTGGGATCTTCCCATTGCTGAGCCTTGTTGGGGGAGCACCATCTCTCTCCAGGCAACCCATGGCAAAGCTCCAACCCTCCCATTTCTAGCTCCAACCCTCTCTGTAGTGCAGGCTCCTTGTTAAAGAGCAGATGCAGAAGGACATGCTCCAAATAATACAGTACACTCAGTAACAGCCAGCCTTCCCCATGCTAAGGGGGAGGGTCTAGCCAGTCTTATGGTTGCTGTATAAACATGAAGTACAACTTCCCTAACTGCAGCCTGCCCTACACATGGTTCCTCCTTGAGGGGCAGGACCATTTTACCTGGCTTCTTACAGGTGTCCAGTCACTGCTGCTCCCTTTTCTGACAGGGCCACAGGACAGTTACCAGCAAACCGTGCGCAGGGACCCAGGTTCAGTGCCTGCTGCGCTGCCCTTTGCTCCGTTCAGGCTGTTACTCACGGATTACCCGGCCCTATTACCGAAGGGTTGTTGTCGCCTGCACCAACAGCTAAAGTCCGGCGTGCAGAGAGCAGGGTGTTGTGGGTGGCAGGCTACCTGTCACCTTCTGTGCCCATTCCCTCTCATTGTTACCCACCACAGCAGTTATTTTAGATCTTGTAGTGTCTACTGCTCACGCTGGCACCATTGTGCCAGCAGGCAAAGCTAACGATGGGTTAGCTGGTGGGAACAGCTATACCAGTCACTGACAGCGGTAATACGACCTGCTCAGACAGCAAATTTAGTAATTTGCTGCTATAAAAACTCAGCAAATCAATTGCTTGAGAACAGGATCTCCTTTAAGACAAAAGGGGAACCTCCAGGGCAATTGCTTGAACTCCACCTGGCTGTTTTCTCTGATGCTTTTCACACCCTATGATTATATTTTTAAAAACTTCACATTTTGGGTCTTCCTTCCTTATTTCCATACAGCTGAAATCAGCAGCACTGAACATCTCTCCCTCACATAGTGGATTTGTGTGAAAAATCACCGTGTTTGCTCTTCACCCTTCTCATCAGTCCCTCCAGTTTAAGAGTTTTCCCGTTCTGCTGGAGGAAAAACTGGTCCTGTGTGATTTAGATAACCAGTTGCTCGACAAAGATAAGCCAAAGCAGGGTGATTATACAAAAATCCTGATCCGAAATGGCTCGTGGAATCTCTCTGATCTACACCCAGGAGCAATAAGAAGGTTTGCAGAAACCGGGAGTATCTCAGCTCTGATTTGAGAGCTGAAAGATGAGGGCTAAACCACCTGGACTGGTTTATCCCCAAAGAGCAATTCTAGCAGCTCTTGTTCCCCTAGGTCAGCGCATACCAGCACAGCATCTGATCTTTGTTCTAACCACACCGCTAGGCTACTGCCTACTGGCCAGTGCTACATTGGGTTGGAGAGATGTCTGCTTTAACTGATAAACCTGGGAAGCCTCAGTTTTACCACTGAGATTTCTGGGTACATAGAAGCCCAGTTTGAAAGGGAAAAAAAAAAAAAAAAGGTGGCTGTGCTACTGAACATGCAGAAATCCCAGAGAAAAGGAGATGGGCATTCGGTGTGCAGGAGAGATGGCCTGTGCAGGCAGCACAACATGCTCTGCACCTCATGGATTCCAGTCTCTTCAGTCCCAGTGCATACTGGGGTGACACTGGTGGTGTCAGAGGCTATTGTCCCTCTGTCTCCTTTCTGCCTAAGCACTAAAAGTTGTGTTGGGAAGAATTAAAGGGCAGGTCCTAATAATACCAAACAAACCAGCAGCTAGCACTTCCATCTGCCAGCTCAGTTTCTGTCTCTAGTAAGGTGTCTCACATCCCAGCAAAGCCAACCAGGGGTTTGGTGGCCAGGGTTCAGCCCCAGAACTGTTTCCTTGTTCTGAAAGTAGGTGAGAAGCCACAAGTTGCAATTCCCAGAAGACAGAGAAGGAAGTGAAAAGCAGAGAAGGCTTACAGGCCTTCCTTCCAGCCCTGAGGAACCACATTTTATACCATACCCCTTGTTTGCCTGCCCCACAGGACAAGGATTGTGCTCTGCTAACGCTCCAGGGCAGATGGGGATCTCAACCCCAGATTTTTACAGCCTCCATCACCTCCAAACAATCTCTTCTCTTCCCTAGTCCCCATTGCTTTCTGCTCCCATTTGGATATTTGGTTGTACTGTATATCATGAGTAGCCCCTACTGTGACGTCCAAGAGCAGCACACAAGGAGGAGCTAAGGCCCTTTGCCCAGAGGAGGCTGTGGGGCACTGTGCTCTGCAGATCCGAGTTCATCCTCTTATGCTTCCCTCATCAGAAAAGCTGGAGTCTCTGCTCAGGACTGGATGAAGAAGACACGGTCCGTCCTTGTGAGATACAAAGTAAGTACTAAATGAGGTGGCACGAAAGAGAGGGAGAGGAAAGATCTCCAGCCTCTACAAACCCTTTTCCATTCCAGCAAAACCAGAATTGCTGGGTTTAGCTGCAAAATAATCCCGAGAATTGCTTAGGATGGTGCAGCCAGTGTTAGCTCCAGGGGACCCACCACAGCAAGCACCTCCTAGCCCCACGGCTCTGCGCAAGCAGGGCAGGGAGCGCCACGAATCACTACTTACTGTTTTTTGTGTTTTCTTTCTTCCTTTCTCTTACTTTTGGGGCTTGAAGAACTAAATAAGAAATGGCTAATTAATTCAGAGATTTCTGTTCTGATAAAAAGCTGCACAATCACACATCAATGTTACCGCTAGATTGCCCAAGAGCGTGCAATAGAAGTGAAAGGGATTAATGATTCTGCCACAGTACAGGGGGTCTGAGTGCCTGCTGACAAATCTGGCTTGTGGGCTTGGCCAAAAAGGATCAGCCGTACTGGCGGCTTTGCATTTTCCCACAGAGAAGATGAATACTTCTTGATACTGTACAGACACATAGTGGAATCAGGACAGTTCTTCCAGTACACACCTGGAAAGCCACTGACTCTGAATGTTTTAAGGATGGGCACTGCTGGGGGATGCTATACTGTTTGCAAATAAAACCATAAGAGAAATGAAGACTCAAGATGCAACATGGATGGGGTTGTCAGGGGTTAGGTTATAGCAAGAGGTCTTTTCCAGTTACATGCTTGATTGCACAGGTTGGGCTGGAGACCCAGTTCCTGCAGGGTTTGAGGAACGCATAAGGCTGAATAGGAGAGGCTAGCTCCAGACCGACCGGGAATGGGGGAGCCGAGGGGATTCCACAAGGAGACACAGAAGAAAAATGTCTTCTGCCCCCAGCCAGTGAACATCAACCTTGTGAGATCTTGAGGAGACCATTAAACTCTTATTTCTAAGGGACCACCCACACTTGCTCAACTCTTACCTGTGTCTTCTCTTCTTTGAGGATAACCTGCAAGACACAAATACGTACATTGAATACAGGGTCTCACAAAATTGGAAGCTTGAATCAGAGACAATGTGTTTAGGCTTAGTGTTAGACTGAGCACTGTGAGAAGGCCTCATGTACCAGCTGGGCAGAATGGCCCTGGCTCTCCTTTGGCCAGCTGGCAAGGGAGTTGCTGAGAAACGCTGGTGTGGTAGAAGTGACTAGTACACTCTACAAATAATTCAGAATATGATCCTCAGGGTAACAAGTCTATAGAGATCAGACACGTCCTCTGTCCCTGGTGACTCCCTTTTCTCTGCTAATGCCTCCACAGTCTTGCACTACACTTAGTTTGAAGGGGCAGAGGTGAGTCCAGTCCCTGGCTTTCTGTATGAAGGACCAAGGAGCAGTCAAAGGAAGAATCCTTTCTGGAGCATCCATGGTATGACACAGGAGCCACTGTGCTGGTGGTCCTCACAGAAAACCCTGGGAGCATGGAGGACACTCTTCCTCGTAGCGAGGCCTGGCCCCAGTACACTGCACATCCCGCTGTGACTCATCTCAGCTTGGAGCACAACATCCTGCAGAAGACATGGCCTGAAGTCCTCCTGCCTAGAGGGGCTGTGAGATTGCCCGTGGCAAGGTTGGTTGGGATCTGTAGTTGAAGTGGTATCAGGTGTCTGCAAGCAACCTCCATTGGTCATGAATGCTTAACGGTTTATCACGCTGCCTTTTGGGACCAGCTACAGCTTATCCGTGGCTTGCAGGGGCATAAATGGGCACTAAAGGTTCAAGCCAAGGAGCATCTGACCCAGAACTGCCATCAGGAGATGGCATCCATAAAAGAGCATAGGAATCCCTCCTTGGGGAGGTAGTATTGTAAAGGAGTTTCTAAATCCTTGTCTCTCCCCCTCCCTCCCTTTTCTTTAAGATTGAAGCTCAGCTTTTCACCCTGTTGTCCATTTTTGGTTGCTTCTCTCTTTGGTTCAATATATTATAAATACATGAACTTTCCAAGGGAGAAGGGTTTTCTTTTCCACTTTTCTTTTCAAATATTGGTTTAATGGTTGAGAGAAACTAGTGAAATATTTGCGATGTTAAAATTTAATTGTGCTCTTTAAATTAAAATTGGCCTTCAGAAGGGGAACATGGAGGAGGGGTAGTTGCCCAGGGCTGGGAGGGATGGCTGAGATGTGGATACTGGTCTGAGCCTTTGCCCATCCCAAACACTGACCCTTTCTGGGCTGGGGGAGAAGGAAAAGGGACTGGTGCAAGCCCCGAGCGCCGATCCCGATGGCGTCCCAGAGGATGGGAGCCATGTGAAATAGGACAGCAGGCAGAAGCTCTGCACCTCATGTGGATTTGGCTTGTCTGTCTCTCTTCCCCTGCACCCCGACAGCTTGTATTTATCTGTTTACCCTGGATGTGCACCCCGCCTTCATGCCCTCCTCACCCCGAGGGACGCTGGCTCTGCCCCTCCTCGCCTGTCCGGTGTTCACATCGCGCTGAGGACCTGCCCTCTGGGCAGCCATTATTAAGAGTCAGGAGTTTGACACCTCTCTGCTGTGGAGCTCGACCAGCCACCCCACAGTGGTAACATCTCCCATCCCTTGTCCAAACCATCACAACAGCCGCTGCTTGCAGGGAATTACATGTTCAAAGGAAAAGTACCTATTTCTTTTTCGCTTCTTGGAGCTTTTCTTCTTCTTCTTCTTCACAGGTGAGGGGCTGTAGGAGGGAGACCTGAGGAGGCAGAGGGGTGTTAGGGACCCTAGGGCTCCCCACAGCCCTCCGTGGCCACCCCAGCCCTTACCCTGCCATCAGCGGCATCCTCCCGGGGTATCCAGCCTCCATTTTACACCAGCTTTCTCCCCTCACACACAGCCATGGGCTGCCTGTCCCCTCCCGCCCCACACGCCACCATGGCCGCCCTCACCTCCTTCGCTTCTTGCGGCCGGACTTCTTCTTCTTCTTCTTCCCCCGGGCCGGCGGCGGCGCACGGTCCCCATCACACGAGGGGCTGAGGAGGGGGGGCAAATCCAAATAAAAATTAAAAATAATAAAAATAAAAGCTGAATCAGCTCACATGGGACTGCTCTCCTCCATCCCCACCTCAGGGGCATCCAGGGCAGGGAGATCAGTTTTCATGGTGAACCTGGGGTGCAGGCGAGTGCCTAATTACCCTCTAACGAGTAATTTGGTCACAGTTTAAATGAAGTGTTTCCTCCATGGGTTTAATGGAGATATAATGAGACAGCTACTGTATGCCGCGGTGACGCCGGCTGATTATTTAAAATGTGTTTGCTGAGGTTAATGACTCCGTAACAGATTTATAGGTTTTGTTGCTCTTTGTAAATATGCTTTAAATAATTAATTGGCATTTAATTTGCATGCAATAATTATTGCAACCAGATGCATCTAACTGTAATAAAAGACTTGACATATGTTAAATAGCAATTGATTAGAAATATATATATTTATTGAGATTCTATGGTAATTTAATGAGATATGCATCTCTTACACAGTTGTTAAACCCTGGGAAAAAAACCCTCCTGTAAATTAATTTCTTTTTTTAAACATATGACACTGAAGTGCGTTATGTTTCAATGAAAAGCAAATATCATGGTTAAATTAATTCAGAGCACTGGGCTGAAAATATAAAAGATACTCTGTGGTTACTCATTAACCAAAGCAAATGTTTGTAAAGATGGTGGCGGCCTGTGAATCCCCAGGTTAATCCCCAAATCAGGCTGTGGATCCCCTAATTGATCCCTAGATCCCCAAAGGGATGTGCAGTTTATGGGGAGCATAGCTAGCTTCCCAGGGCCTCTGCAAAATCACTGCTAGAAATGAGGGCGCTGGGTTTGTGCCTCAGTTTCCCCACTTCTCACCCCGCTGGCAGAAGGACCCACTAGTGGGGAATGTGCGAAGGCAGCCCCGTGTTTGGAAAATGCTGTGGGATCTTCGCTGCAGAAACCAGCCAAAAACTGAGCAGTTTCTGCCAAAAGAACAAATGTTATTAAGAGCCCTAATGCAGAGCAAACATCACAGCACCTTGACCCATGGAGGCAGTGGCAGGGGGTTGTCTTGGGGGGACTCGGGCTCCACTGTCTCCCAACACTTGCTCACCCACAGCTTGAGTTACTACCAAAATTACACTATCATAAAAAACCAGTTGCTTAGTGCTTTTAATATGCTTTGGGGTTTTTTTTAATTGCTCTGCAAAAGAAAACTGTATGCTAACGCTTTGGTTGTGAGCTGTGAATAACTGAGTGTTTCTGGTGCAGTAAATCCGAGGTGCAACCACGCTGTGACCCCCAGGAGCATCCAAATCCTCCTCCTCCTCACTCTCTCTCTCCTCCCAAGGATTTCCCTGACCAGCAGAAGCACTGCTAGGAGATACGGCACACCTTGGGCTTAGTGGGTCTTTTGTCTGCATTAAGGTAGAAAAAAAATGCATTTTCCAAGACAGCTCGTTGTCGCCAAGCTCAGACATCTCCCCAAAGACACCCTGAGGGTCTGTCCCACGCCAGGGACCTGGACACCCATCTCAGCCCCTCACTTACCAGGATGCTTAACCCCAGCTCCCACCTGCTTTCCCCCAGCCCAGATTTGGGCTCCCCAGCAAATGGGTCTGGGTGCATCTCACCCCCTCCTCGCCCAGGGCCACGGCCAGGCACGGCCACGGGAGAGCGGGGAGAAACCTCTGGCTGCGCTGGGCGGCCGCGGGCGGTTTCTGTAGAGCCCTTCTCCCCGCTCGCAAGGTAAAGCCTTTTGTCTTTGACATGGAAGATTTCTCCCTGCGCTGATCCGATTTTAATTGTTTCTCTGCGATTGTAATCAAAGTCTAATTAAAAATACGCTTTAGATTATTGTTCCGGTTAGCCTGAAATCTGAAGATATGAAATGTGCTTTCTTGCTCTTTCTTTCCAGCATCTTTAAGCAAATGGGGAGTCTTTAATCCCAGAGACAGTTTAGCAGGCAGGGCTCAGAGACCCTAGCTGCTTCATTTACAATGTTTGATTCATTTTTCCGCTCTCAAGTTGTCAGGGGCTAATGATGAACTGATAATGAAGCTGCGTCCTAACAAAGCCAATGCTTCTGGGCTGGTCTAGGCATGGGGAGAGGGGAATTGCTGAGAGTGATGCCCAGCCAGGGGTACCCCGCAGACCTGGTAGCACATGGGGCTGCTGGCAGGTTGCCTGCCTTCCAGCCAGGATTACTTGCAAGGGGGTTGTAAGAGCAAGGCGTGGAGTGGAAGTGAACTACAGGTGCAAACATGCACAGGGATTTCATGCAATTGCATAAATTTGCTGTACGCTCACATGGTGGTTTAACCCATCCCCAGGTCTCGCAGACCCCAGGGGCTGGGTAAACAGTCACCGACGCCTCCTCTGCCATCCCCCTGTGTCGGGGTGACCCCCCTCACAGCCCGGGGCTCCTACCTGCGTGACCTGCGGCGAGCATGGTCTGGCCTCTCCTTCCCTTTCACACAGCCGTTGGTGGTGGAGGCCTCCTTGACCACGCGGCCACTCAGCTTTTCGGGACGTCTGTCCTCCGCAGGGTACGGCAGGCAGCTGAGCGTCCCGCTGCGGGAGCAAGACCACAAAAAGAGAGCGATAAAGAACTATGCATTCAGCTGGGCTCGTTGGCTGAAGGTTTCCCATGTGGTGGGGAATCCCCTTGCCTTTCCGCAGGTAGGACCCGTGCTGCTGTGAAGGAGAGCTGCAGGTTGCTCTCAGGCCTCCTGAGCCCGCAACGCTCAGCCCTGCAGTGGGAAATGCTCCTGCAAGGAGCCGGGAAGCCCCCATTTCCAAGCCCAGCTGCATCCCAGCTCAGCTTTCAGGCAGAGATGCCACTAGCATCGTGCAGCTGAGGGCAGCCCCACACTGCAGGGACAGCACGGGGTCCAGATCCAATGCGACAGCGAGGAGCAATGGTAGCTAACCAGACCAGCACCCCTGGACATCTTCCGCTGCGTTGTGGCTTTTAGCTCACCAGCTCTGCAGAGACAGCACTGATCTTGCACTCTGGTAGAAAAAAAGCTTTTGCATCTCACACGCTGTTCCCCAAACCTGCTGTTAACCTCACCACGCATCCTCATCCTGTCCCCCTCACCAGCACTCAGGTGGAAGCAAAAGCGTGAGGCACGGCCAGAGGCCGGTACGCCCCGGGGAACATCCTGCTGCCTGCCCCAGCCCTGAGCAACACTTTTCCAGCTGGAGTTGGCACCGGAGCAGCTGCAGAAGAAGGGTCTCCCCTCTCTTTCCATCTGTGCTTTCTCTCTCAACAAGCCCCCACTTTCTCTTGTAGCTGACTCTTTCTTTGTAATGCCTGAACATTTAAGGATGTGCATCAGCTAAATACAAGTGACAGGGGTCAATGCAGGGAAGCGGAGTGGAGTATTTCCAGCCCAGGACATGGAGGAGGTGACACTGGCTGATCCGATGGTCCCTCTAGCTTTAAAAATCTATTTCTCTGCTTGTAATAAATCCCCCAGTTGCTTCCCAACATCTATGTTATTTTTAACCATCCGGGAAGCTACATGGTTAATTGCTTTCTTTGTGCAGCTAATTAGCTTGTGGCCTTTCCCAAACCCCTTTTAAGAACAGTCTTCTGAGGCTCAATCATTAAGATCCATTAAAAATGTCCCCAAATTAATGACCTGTGCAAAATCTGGGCTGGATCAGCTCCAGCAGCAGAGGCAGGAGGGTTCCTCCCTGGGCTGGCAGCACGCGGGGCCACCGCTGCCTTGCGGCAGGGACCCGGGCATGGCAGGGGATGTCCCTCTCACCCCGGCCCCCGCTCCCGCTAATGGGATTTTCAGGGTCCTGGGGTTAAAACATATTGGCCTTGAGGCAACCAAGGACTCCTGTCCTGCAACGCACTAGGAACCATTCCTTCTGTGCTTGGAAGTAATTATTGATGGAAATAATTATTCTCCAATCCCATCAAAGGCTGGCTTCAATTCAACCAAATGTTCTCCTCTGATGAAGGCCGAGAGCCACTAACGCTCTAAACTGGCTGGTAATCCCCTTGCGTTAAGCTCCGTAGACATTGATTGAATATATATATAAAAACATATATTTATTTTTTTTGGTTGTCTTTCATGTCTTTCATGACTGATATAAAAGTGCTTGCAGTTTGGTGTGAACGATTACTGTGGCCTCAAAGGAGAGGATTATCACACCTTCCCCTGCCAGTCCTCGCCTGCAGCAGAAAGGAGAAAGCCTCCGCAGGTGGTTTGCTGGAGCTGGCCCCGGGATGGCAGCGAGGACGCTCGGGGCGATGCACCCGGAAAGCGCAGGGCTCGCTCAGCACAGCGGACGTGCTGCCCGCAGAGGTGCGTGCCAGAGCAGGCAGGAGGAAGAGGAGGCAGGCAGGATGCCCAAGGTTTGCCCTGCTCCGGGCTCAGGAAGGCCCACGGCCTCTCTGCCAACGTCGCGTGGTTAGCTCTAAGGACACACTCCCGGCCACGGGCAGCTGGGCCAGGATGAGGCAAGCTGCCCACCGGTCCTGCGTGCCCTCCAACTTTCTCCATTTCCATGAGACGGTTGCTTGCACTTATTTATTTATTTTTCTTTCTTTCTCCCATGCATAAATCCAGCCTATCCATCAGGCCTGCCCAAAAGCAGCATCCTTGCGCCTGACAGGGAGATCCCATGCAGGAGGGCACCCGTTGGACTGCCCGCAGCCAGCTCAGCACAAAACACATCCTGTGCAACCTCCCTCTGCAGATGGCTCGCCTTGTCCCTTCCCTTCTCCAGTCCAGGAGGGTTTTTCTGGACTCATGGCAATTTTTGCCAGCTTTTCAGTGGCCGGGAGGGAAGCCGCAGACACACAGAGCTCTCACCCTTTCCACCAGCCCAAGCCTTTCAAAGCTTTTCACTACCTGACCAGCCCACCTCTGTGTGTTGGTATCAGATTTGGGCTCTCCCATGTTTCTCTTCCCTGACAGAATGTGTCAACAGCAGAGGGGAGCAATAGATCGTTTCCCTAATAGAAATGATACAGAAAAGATCCCTGGTGAGAAAGCACCCAGATGTTCCGGATTTGAAGAAGGGTGAAACCACTGTAAAACCCTGTGGCTGTGTGGAGAAGAATGAAGTGGGCAACAGCAGCCCAGCCAGAAGGTCAAGGGTCCCTGTTTATTTTTGCAATCTGCCCAATATGCTTCCCACCAGCCTTTCCCAAAGGCACATTGCGTTTCCAAATCCCACTGGGCTCCCTGCTGCCAGCAGCATCCCACAGGGCCCTGTCACCCAACGCAACCCCATCCTGCCTCCCTCCCTGGGGTGCTGGCACGTCACCCCCCATTTATGCTCACGGGTGGCAGGATGAGGACCCTCCTCTGCAGAGGCCAAAGAAAATGCAAGACTGGAAAGGTCCCCCAGGGCATTTGCAAGAGCTGGGAGATGTGCTGGGCTCAGCAAAGACTCCTTATGGAGTTTGTGCAGGGAAGTTCTTAAAGACATTCTCTGGCCTCCAGAGCCATGGGTGAGCCCCACGGTGAGCCAGTGTTGGGGCACCCTGAGGGCTTGAACCAGCCCAGCCATGGGGAAATATCCCCCCCCCATAAGGCTGCACTGCCCTTCCTGCCCACGGACAGACCCTGGCACCCTTCACAGAGGGCCGGGCAACGGCACGGGGTATTTTATTTGCTGCCCCAGGGAGCAGAGCTAACTCACAACCCATCCCCATTCCTCCATCCCAGGCCACCGCGCTCGGTGCCATGGCCAAGTGCCATCTCATCAGGCCGTGAAACGTGGCACTCGGTGACGCACGCTTCACCGGGAGCTGAGCCCGGTGACACCCGTCACCGCCAGCCCTGCAGTGACATGCAGTCGGTGCAGGTTTGGCGTGCACTTGAAATCCCTGCGTGCTGGCGTCTCAGCGCTGCCGGGGCCAGGCAGCTGCCCTCCCCTGCCCACAGGCTCCTGCGTCCCAGCCGAGCTCCTCTGCCCCGACCCCGAAGAAGTCTCCTGCCACAAAGCTTTCATCAATCATCCTTTTCCCCCATGGTAACTCAGCTCCTCTTCTCAAGAGGAGAGAAAAGCAGGAAAATTGCCTTCCTCGTGACCTTTCAGCTGCCAGACCCTGCCACCAGCCCGTCTCCCCACCCGCAGCAGCATCGTCCCTCGCTTCCGCAGGACGGGCTCCAGCAGTCCCAGTCCTCAGTGGCCTTGCCGCAGCCCCTCTGCCCTTTTCAGCTGCTTTGCAAGCAGCAGCGTAAGCACATCAGGGCTGGATCATGCTAACCAAGCTTTTTTTTTTGTTGTTTTTTTAATCATTTATTTTACTTAGCACACGCAGCTGAGTTGGGTGCTGGATGCACCCGGCCGCATACACGCAAGCGCTTCGGAGGCCCCGAGCACTGACTGCACTTGGCAGACCTGCACCGACAGCGTTTCCAAGCTCAGGACAGAGTATTTGGGAAAGCCAATATGGAAACTTTACTACCTTGCCCTTTTCAGCCCTGGCTGGCTCTGCATTCCCATCATCTCTACAGCCCCCAGTGAAAAGGTAGGAGCAGCTCCAGCCAACCAGAGCCCCGAAAACGAGAAAGGTTAAAGTATCTCTGACGAGCCTATTAGTTGTGACTGGTTCCCTGGCATTAAACCCATGATGGACACCTTGCCTGGGGACTGGGAACATCAGCCTGTGCAAGGACACGGGTGTCCTACAGCCGCTCGCACCAGGGATACTCCTGAGCAATGTGCAAAAAGTGCACGGACACACGCTTGAATATCTCAGCTTTCCTCTCCTTTCCTCACCTGGAGGGTTTGGCTGGGCAGGAGGGAGCAGGCGGCAGGTTGGGGTACCCGCTCTCCTGCATCCCTACGGCTCTCTGCCACGGCCACCTCTGATGCGCCTCTGTCCTGGGCTCTTGGCCCCGGCGAGGGTGGGCTGAGCTGCGCAATGCGTTTCTAAAATCCACCGCTTTGGGCCGAGAAGCCTTTTGGAATGGGCAAAATGACCCTTTTATTTTCTCTCTTGCTCTCTAGCTTTGCTCACCTGATTGAAAGAGACAATGCTCGAACCGTTCCTTTGTCCCAGGAGAGGGAGGGGGCACAAAAGAAGGTTGTAAAGACATTTCCAAGCAAAAACTCCAGCAGAGGTGTTTACGTAAAGCTCTTTGAAACATGCACTAAAAATACCTCTTCAAAATTAGGAGATGGGGAAAATTGTAAGTGCTTCCACAAACACACACACACAAACACCCCACGGCAGGTTCTTTCCCCACCTCATTCAAACCGTTATTATTAGTGCGGCAGGAGCCCTGCAGTTTGTTATTGAAAATTATAATAGCAAATCACCGAGATATTTTCCCTGATTACACAGACTCCAAGCCAGTTCAATTTTAATCTTCTCCCCGCTATTTTTTCCGTGCATCAGCAGAGACACCAGCTGCAGAAAAGCGCGTGGTTTTCTTGAGGCAGTTTAAACACAGAAGAGAAACACAAGTCCGTAATATACATTTTTCATCCAATTTTTGCCAGTCGTGACTCGCCTCCCCCTCCTATTCCCAGGAACCCTGCGTCCTGCTGCAAGCCCGGATGCAGCAGCAGCTCCTTTTGCTTCTTGGACT